GTGGCCAAGATTAAGTCTATTAGGGTTCTGTTAGCCATAGCTGCATTTCATGACTATGAAATATGGCAAATGGATGTCAAAACCGCTTTCCTTAATGGAAAGTTGGCTGAGGATGTTTATATGAGTCAGCCAGAGGGTTTTATCAATACAGAGTACCCTAATAGAGTGTGTAAGCTTGAGAAATCCATTTATGGGTTAAAGCAAGCACCTCGCAGATGGAATCTTTGCTTTGATGAGAAAGTCAAAGAATTTGGCTTTTCTAGGAGTGAAGATGAATCTTGTGTATATGTCAAGGCTAGTGGGAGTATAGTTAGCTTTTTGGTATTGTATGTGGATGACATACTACTCATAGGAAATGACATCCCAACTCTACAGGAAGTTAAGTCCTGGCTTGGGAAGTGTTTCTCTATGAAGGACCTAGGAGAAGCTGCCTATATTCTAGGGATAAGGATCTTTTAGAGACCGGAGTAAAAGACTAATTGGACTTAGTTAGAGTACCTACTTGGATAAGGTGCTGAAGAGATTCGGCATGCAGGACTCCAAGAAAGGAGAGTTACCCATCCAGAGTAACGCCAGATTGAGTAAGACACAAAGCCCTAGTACTGAGGCTGAGATAGCAGAAATGATTCGAATACCTTATGTTTCGGCTGTAGGATCGATCATGTATGCTATGACGTGTACTCGACCTGATGTAGCCTTTGCTTTGAGCACGGTTAGCAGGTATCAGGGGAACCCTGGCAAGGCACACTGGACTGCGGTAAAGAATATCCTCAAGTACCTACGGAGGACTAAGGACTGGGTCCTTACCCTCGGTGGGAGTGAAGACTTGAGAGTTGTAGGGTATAGTGATGCTAGCTTTCAGACTGATAGGGATAATTTCCGCTCTCAGTCAGGCTGGGTCTTTACCTTAAACGGAGGAGCAATTTCTTAGAAGAGTTCCAAGCAAGAGACAGTGGCTGATTCAACTTGCGAATCAGAGTATATAGCAGCTAGCGAGGCAGCAAAGGAGGCGATATGGCTGAAGAACTTCATTGGAGACCTTGGAGTTGTACCAGCTATTAAAGAGCCAATGGAAATTTTCTGTGATAGTGAAAGTGCAGTTGCCTTAGCAAAAGGAACCAAGGGATCACGGGAGATCCAGACACATCGACAGAAAATACCATTTCATCAGACATCGAATAGAAGAAGGACTCCTCGTGGCAAAGAGGGTATCATCGGATGAGAATCCAGCAAATCCCCTCACGAAGGGACTGACTCGGGTTAAGCATCTCCAGCATGCTCAGAGCATAGGGCTGAAGGATGATATTAGATTTAGTAGTTAGATAATCTTGAAATTTGTAAAGTGTAATTGACATTAGATGATGAATAAAAGGTGTTTTATTTATGAGTAAAGTGTTGCTATCTCTTGCCGGTCGTTTACTATATTTCTTTTGCATGTTTTGACTTCCAGAATAATTATGTTTGGTATATCATATTATTCGAACCTCCACAGTCGGTCATATGTCGGAAGTAGGTATGAATCAAGACTGTCATGATTGGTTGCAGAGGTCTAAGTTGTTGGACATGGCTACAACACTCATGAGTGCTCATAAGTTCTGAGCATTGGACTCAACCCACGCTCACTGGAATCACTTCATGGAATTTATCTCGAGTGATCGTGAGACGGTAATATCATATAAGTCTTCAAACCTAGATATATGATTTGTTACTTATGAGTTGGTTATGCATTGGGTTGTACGAAAACGCATTGGTAACTCGATGTTATAAAACGTGCTCTTGTGTATAATTCAATGAGCAGTAGAACAAACATATGAGTCGAAGTTTATCTGTTCCTTCTTGGATTAGAAGCTGATATCTGGGCCCCTCGATGATTTTGTTTTGACCTATGTACCGGGCCCGGTCAGAACTAAGTTGATGTGTTCAATTAAGTTCTTTGTCAAACAAATCGGAAATCGGGAAACAAACTGCTGGACAATAAGTAAGACATTGTTCCATGTATTTTTCCGGCTGATATCTAGAACAGAGGATTATATGATCACTTATCTTAAATGGCGTATCATCATCTTCTCAGTTCCAAGAGACCTTGAAAGAGCTACGATTGTTGATCGGTTCCTGAAGTCATACTTACAGTTATAGTTATTTGACTTATCCAAGTGGGAGACTGTTGGATAAGGTGTCTAAGTCCATAACTATTTCTGGTATGTACTTGACCCGACCCGGCATGGTCCATCTGGGTTGCATGGCACCATGCAATTGGATAAACTAAAATGAGAGAAATAACACTTATGGTTTATTAATATATTATAAGTTCTAATATATTAATAATATTATTTAATTAGTTTGATCAAGAATTAATTAAGTGATCAAAAGATAACTAATTAAATATATGGGTAGATTATGTAAATCTTCCATATCTTATATAGTGGGCTAAGAGGCTCCATGGATTATCAAGTTGGGTTCCACCCATAGGATGCTCCATGGAGTTAACCCATGGATCATGAAATGAAGAGTCATATTACATTAGGGTTTACCTAATGCAACACACTATATAAACAAAGGTGTTCTCCCCAAAATCGGCGACACTAAGAAACAAGAGGGCTAGAGCCGATTTTGCAAGTGTAAGATTCTCTCAAAGTTTACTCCTTTGCATTTGGTGTTGTGTGAAGCATTTGAGGCATCACACTTGGGGTGCTAGGCTCACAAGGTTTCAAGGATCATAATCAACAACAAGGTAAGTTATTCTATCTTTCATTCAAGTTAAAAATGTTCCCCATGTATGCTAGATAGGAATATAACCTTGGAATTCAACTTTGCATGATAATTAGACAAACATAGATTCAAGGTTATTAGGGTTGCATGTACACTTAGGAAGTGTTAGAATGCTCAAAACCCATCAAGAACATCTACTCACCGATCTCGGCATCAAAAGATCTCACCGATCTCAGCATCAAAAGATCTCATTCAACTACATTTTTAAGTGAGAACATTGGGTGCCATGTACTTGTGTGCCAACCTAGTGTACCATTCTCGCATGAAACATATTGCTTTAGATTACTATTTTGTCAATGAAAAGGTGGCCAATTGTTACTTAAGAATTCTGCACATCAACTCGTCTGATCAACTCGTTGATCTTCTTACAAAACCATAAGGATGCAACACCTTTCTTCATCTTCGCTCCAAGATTGGAGTATCCGATGGATCCTCCATCTTGCAATCTTGCAGGGTCATATCAAGACCAACCCAAAATCAAATATTTAAAATGTATTTAAATTAGTATTCTAGAAATAATCATGTAAGTTAAAAGTTTTTGTAACTCATTAATTGCAATTCTCATCTTGCAATCTTGCAGGGGTTTTTAAACTACAAATCTCGCAACTCAAGTACAATACAACCTATCATCCTCTCATGGACAATTTGAAGTGGTGAACTAATGCCTTGAGCAATAAGTTAGATGTTTTATGTTAACTAGGCCAAAACAATGGAAAAAAAATATTTCCATATTGGTACAACACCTCATTCCATGCCAATCTCAAAACTTCCCCTTTCAAAGTGTTCTAAGTGTTCTATGGTAGAGACCATCCACATCTGTTGAGGGACAAATAAGAATCTGCCAAGATTGAACAATTTGAACAAATTAAACAAAGCAAGACTCCAATTATTGAAAGCAAAATGTCAAATGAAGCAATATTCAGAAATAAGTTGCAAGGAGGTAGAGTTTGCCATTGCTGATCTAGTCTTTTTAATGTTTTGACCATATCGTCAAAAGTCCTTGGTGGTGCATAACGGTCTGAAATTGGTTGCTTGATACTATGGTCCTTACTAGGGGTGTTCATTTGGATGGATCGGTTTGATTCGATCCAATCAAGTGAATCCAAATTGATTTAGGTTTTCAAAACATGGATCCGAATAGTTCAAACTAAATTCAAAACCGATCTAATCCAACCAAATTACAATTCAGTTAGATCGGTTTTTTACAATTTGGTTTTCAAAAGGTAGGACGTTTAAAAATATATATAACTTGAATATTAATCAACTCTATAAAAGAAACTAAAAAAATGTTTAGTTGTGAATTAAAATTTATAACTAACTACTAAGAAAAAAATATATTGTAGTTTAGTATTTCGTAGATAAATTTTTTTTGGCATGAAATACATATTAAAACTTTCTAATCCATTTAAAAAATAATTTAGTAAATTTATAAATGATAAAAGATATATATTGAAAATAAATAATAAATCGTTATTCGGTTTTTTTGGACAATTGGGTTTTTATTTTATAAACCAAAACCAATCCGAAATCCAAAATAATAATTCGGTTTTGCTAAAAAAATAATCCAAAAATCTGAATATCCGAACCAAATAGTCAAATCCAAATTATCCAATTGGACAATTCGGTTTTATCCAAACAGTGAACAACCCTAGTCCTTACCCGACTGCTTATCAGTTGCAACTTCCACGATCGACTAGCATTCACCATGTGTTTCATCTCACAATTATGAAGAGCTATTCGAGAAGGAAGACATAATATGCAGCCATGACCTGCAGCTTTGCATTACGTTTTCCTATTCACTTTTCGTTTTATTTCCTTTGTGATAATATCTAGTCAGTTATTTCTGTCTTTAGGCGGTAAAGTCGGTTACTATATGGTATAAGTAGTTTATGTGGGGCAGTTTCATAGTCAGTTACTAATTTGGTTCAGTTGAACTCATCTAGGTGAGACTGTCCTTTTGAAAGACAACTGTAATCATTTAGGTTACATATAATCAAATTAAAGTAAGCCAATCTTGTTTCTGTGATCTGGACGACAACAGGTTACTTACATGCTTTTGGTTTTACTTACGTAATCGTTGTAATATTTACAGCAGATTATATATGAACAAAACCGTAGAACCAAAACAAGTATTATCTAGTTATAGTTATAGCTGAAGCTAAAACACCATGAAGCAAAATTCCAAATCTAACCAAGAAGTCTAGTTACCCTATTACATGAATAGGTACGTGCTACTTATGGTTTACCAGAAAGCTTGTAACATCATAATCTACACTAAAAGTACTTGGCTTTGGTACCCCAACTAAAAACCATTTCCATATATATACATCTTCCTCCCAATCTGAAATGAATTTCGGCTTTTCTCCCTTAAATTCAAAAAACTCAACCCTCTTCACATCTGGAGTCATGAGTCTCCTTGCTTCGCCTTCATGCAACTCCCACTCTTCTGGTCCATCAAATTTCTAGAGCATCAAACAAAAGAATAAGTTTTTTCATGAGAGGTGCGGAAATTTAAACTAATGAAATTAATTCTTGAAAAGGCTATTTATTGGCTCAATTGTTGTTTTTTTTTTCTTCATATACTAGGGTTCATGAAAAATTCTGTCTAAAGATCATCTGAGATGTTTTATGTGCAAGTCCCTATGTAGAGGTGGCACAACGGGTGGATGAGACATGGTCAAAAGTCAAAACTGAGATTTAGTAAGACGGGTCATGGTCGACATAAAAAAAATACCATTGGATCATATGAGAATACCTCTTTAACAATTAACTTGAGAGACTCTACTTTGGGATAACATTTGAGAATTCGAATGATATCCATGGTGAACGCATCAACTCCTGTGGTTAGTGCCAGAGTCTTGAGATTAGGTAGAGCCGGATCACGTGCAGCATTAATGCACTATGATAATGACAGAAAGTAAGGATTGGGGTTATTATTCATGGTACTAAATATGTATGCATGTACACTCAAATGATAAAAATTTGATGAAAACCATTGATACCTTCAAACATCTCCAAGTATCATTATTCTTTTCTAAAACTCAATAAGGAATATGAATTACATGTTTGGAAAGTAAAAACATAGATTGAGAAATATATACATACTATCCGCCTAGTAATAATTCACCCCTTATTGACGCTATAGATTTTGATCCAAAACATTTCATGCTTTTGTCTATTAAAGCGCGCTTTCTACATTAGGTTAAAAATAAACACCTATGTAGTTTATTACCAGATTACACCAATTTCTCATTAAGTACAAAAGAAACATCATTTAAAAATTTAATGTTCTAATATTTAATTAATAGACTCTTCTTCACATTTTCACTTATACAGAACTGTTGCCAAATGGAACTTCTGCATTTTGCCATCAATGTTCTCATGTTTTAACAAGAGCACCAGTCTTGTCTGATTTCGGTCAACTCTTTCATAAAAAAGCTGGTAAACTAAAAACCCTTGCAGAAATTACACAACAAAGTTTTTAAAGAGCAATGAAGAGTTGTGCATAAGTATAAAAATATGTACCTGACTAAAGAAGTAAAGGTCGATCCACAAATGTTCCACATGAGAAATTCCAGGAATCAACACAGATTTGATGTTCCCCGTCAATTTAGGCTCAATCTCAGCTTTATTCAATGAGTCTAGACATTCAAAGAAAAAATTATTTGCTATAAGACCTCTTAACTCCAAATCCACCAGCTTTGGGCAACAAATCTTAATGCTGTCACACATCAACTCATCGTTTTCATTTTCAATTCTCAGCACTTTTAACTTTGGGCATGAAATATAAAGAAGACCACGTTCGTTCATGAAGCAGGATATCAAACTCAAGCCCTCAAGCAAAGGGAAGCTTTCAAAAAAAGCTTTTACCACATCCCTATCTCCCAATAAGTCAACATAGATCAAATCAAGATCTCTAAGTGCGGGAAACCCCATAATATTAGTTAACCTTAGACGATGATAGCTCAAATTTAACCCTAATACCTCCAAGGAAACGCAACTCACAAGGCAAGGGGGCATCTCGACATCCTCATTCTCATCCTGAGGGTAAAACATCAAGTGAAGTTGTTTCACGTTTCTTGTAACAGCCATGTGAATCCACCGCCTCACTGTTGACAGAGTATAGTGATCGAAACAACCTAAATCAAGACAATCCAAATCGACGGATCTGTTTGCTAAAACCCAAAACACAAAGTCTTTGAATTCGTCTTTTTTTAATTTGTCTTCTCGGTGAAATCGGGAAAATAAGTCTAGGGAGGGAATTGAAGTCCATAAATACCTCCATCGTCTGGACAAAATACTGCTTCGAATTATTACTTCTTCAGTCGATGAAAGAAGTGAAAGAATCAATAGAAGAATAGAATCCGGCATGTTACTGATCAAATCGATCCTATCTTCGCCTTTTGATGCCTTTGGCCGCTCAAATTTTTTCATGCCCGTTTACAGTGATGTGAATCAAAAATTATTCAGAGACGCAAACGGATCTTAAATCACACACAACACGGTTTCCAATGATTTATTTTGGTCGCTCATAGCTTCTACATACATATGGAACGACGTACCCTATTCGCGCCAAAGGCGTACTCTTATCGCGCCAAAATTGTCATATGACAAACTTACTGTAAATCTAATGGGGTTTTGTTTATTATTTAGACAAAATTGATGGGATAACGCAGCCACAAAGGTAAATAACAATGCGAAATAATATTTCGTTTGACTAAACTACTTTGTCGTCTTCAATGAACATTTTATTATGCAAACACATAGGATATTTTCACTTGCAACAATCAGCCCCAATGCAAGTTATATGATCAATATAATCAACCCAAAAAAATAAGTAATCAACCAATAATGTAACGCCCAGTTTATTTAAATAAATTAATAAATGTAAGTCCCAGACTAATTTGTGAAGAATTTTAAAAGTCGGGGGTTAAAAGTGCAAGTTCTGGACTTAATTTGAAAATGATTTCAGAAGCCATGGTCCGTTTGGTAATAAATGGGTTTAAATTGAAAAGATTTGAAGGCTTAGGGGGCTTATTGGTAATATGGGGATCTATTATGAAAAGAATTATAGAACCAGGGGCAAGAGAGTAAATAACTGATTAAAGTTGAAAAGTTTTAATGAAGGAGGGGCTGATCCTGTCAATATGGAAATAAGTTTAATGGCACAAGGTATATATGTATTTCGGGAACCCTAACCCTAGAAGACTATTCCAGCCGCCACCTTCACACCTTGTGACTCCTCAGTCGCCACCTCCCTTCCATTCACATTTCCGATGCGGACCAAGTCGCTATCCACTGCCGGCGACGCTGTGAGCGACAAGGACCACCGAGACCAGGTTCCTGCGCTGTGAACGACAAAGGGTGAGCTATGAAGTCGATGTCTAGTTACGAGCGGTGGAGGTCCGAGATAGCCTAGTCGTTGGTGTTGTTTGGATGTCGTACGACCACTTCCCTACTGTATTCTTCCTCTCTTCTCCGCTTTTGCCCGGTGCTGCGACGTTGTGGGATCCCGATGAATATTCCGTCGTTTTCTGCTCGTCTGCTTCACGCCACCACAGGGGTGGCCGGGGCTGGTGCGTATTCGAAGGTGGATGTGCGAGTTTTGGTGCTATGGGCGTGTTTTTCTTGGCTGAGAATCAACAGAACCGCCGCCACCACCGTGAGGTGGTGGCTGTTATTGCAAGGGTTGTTGCTGCCGCCGCCATACACCGCCAGGCGGGTGGTTGGCTTCTCTTTCCGAGCAAAAGACGTGAAGATGGGTGTGTTGCAGTTGGTGAGTGTATGTGTGTATGGATGGAATTCCCGGAAAAGACATCACCACCACCATAGGGTGGTGGCTGCCGCCAATCGCCACCGCCGGCCACCATGGTGTGGCTGTGTGTGTGTGTTAGTTAGTGTGTGTATTAGTTAATGTGTGTTAGTGAGTGTGTGTGTGTTATTTTGGATAAAAGTATTGTAACTGTAATTAGCATTGAATAATAAAAATAATAATAACCACCACCGTAAGGTGGTGGCCGCCGCCGCGAGCCGCCATGGACCACCACTACCCGAGGTGGTAGTGGGTGGTGCCCCACAAGCAAACCCTAATTGACCTAGCAAAACCCTGATGGGCTTAAGGATTAGTTTTGGGCCTATTGGGCCATGTTTGGGTGAAAAACCCTAATTAGGTTTAGAAAACCCTAATTGTGAGTAATTGGGCCTTAGACTTATTGGACCCACTTTTGGACTATTGAGATTGGATTGTGTATTAAGTCCAATTTCTCCATATCACTGATCTAGTAGATTAAAGGACTTAATGGATTAAGTCCTTAATGGGTTAAGTAAGAAACACTTAACCCTTATCATCACTTTATGTGAAACCCTAATGTCACCTGGGCCTTGGGTTGGGCCTTTCGATTGGGTTTTGGTAATTGGGCCAATAATGGGCCATCCAAGAATGATTATATGGACTAGAATATTTAGATGGGCTTTCGGGTAAGGCCCATATGAGGGTTTGGGCCCAATTTAGAAAATTGGGCCATAGAGAGGCTATAGTTTGGGCCTTGATGATTATGAGATGTTGGACCATGAGAATGTCAAGTGTTGGACCAAGAATGAATGATTGGGCCTTAAGGCAAGACTATGTGGAGGTTGGGCCCAATTTAGAAAATTGGGCCATAGTTGGGCTTTGGTCTATTATTAGACTTTTGGGCCTTTGGATTGGGCTTTGGCTTGAGTCAAGTTAAGATAGGGGTAAAGTAGTCTTTTACCCAAGTATGGACTTATGGTTATGAGTTGGAACCCAATTATTAATTGGGTGTTATTTTGATATTGACATATCGGGAATCTGTCAGCCAGCAGCTGGGGTTGAATCTGCGGGACTTCAGCAGTGTGTGATTGTGTCTACGGGACTTCAGCAGTGTGAGGTGAGTTTTCCTTCCAGTAGGAACGGGTCTACGGCCACAATGTCGGCCCGTTTAGATAGCAATAGTTCCGGACTTTGGTCCGATGCAGTAGTTCAGTATGCTTGATGTCTTTGTGATTCAGGCATGTTTATGTGTTAGTTAGTCCGGACCTCGGTCCGATGCAGTATGCAGTATATGTGCTTATGTTATATGCTATGATCATGTTATGCTATGTCCAGTTAGTCCGGACCTCGGTCCGATGCAGGGGGGAAGGCCCCAGTTAGTCCGGACTTCGGTCCGATGCAGGGGGAAAGGCCCCAGTTAGTCCGGATTTCGGTCCGATGCAGGGGGCAAGGCCCCAGTTAGTCCGGACTTCGGTCCGATGCAGGGGCAAGGCCCCAGTTAGTCCGGACCTCGGTCCGATGCAGTGGGCAAGGCCCAGTATGTGCTTTTATATGTTATTGTATGATATGTGGTAGTTTGGGGGAGCTCACTAAGCTTCGTGCTTATAGTTTTTAGTTTTGGTTTCAGGTACTCAGTTTTCAAAAGAGGAGCTCGGGAAGATTGCAGTGCACACACCATTTGTTCAGCCTGGGATGTTTATACTCTGATATATTTGACAGTTGTTATAATATTTTGGGATACATTGCTTATGATTTTATACGAGGTTTATCGACTATGGTTTTTATTATTAAATTAAACGAAATTTTCAGACTGTGTTTTTGGGATGTTACAAATAAAGACACCAGAATTTTAGTGTGGAAACCTCTCAAAAAAAGGATAGTAAAACCATGGGAGTACTAGAGCCGCTTTAAATCAACTATCACAAATATTAGAGCAATACAAAGTCTTCTCTAGATGTACTAGAAACATACAATAATCATCATATACTTGGAACGAAATCACATCAAGCATATGGAATCAAATAAGCAAAGACAAAGAATAATATCACCAAAAACGTTCCTGATTTCCAGCAGAAAACAGAAGCGAAGATTCCCGAGACTCTGTTCCTGATCTCGATAATTCAACCGTTGGATCTGAAGGTCTCGATGTTAGGAAGCTGCTGTCCAAAAATCAAAGAAAACGGACCGTTGGATCTCCGGGAAATTACCAAACACTGTAGGTGTATCTTCAAAAACGGGAATTGAGAAAAAAAAACCTCTTTTGCTTCTTACTCTCTCTAACTCTCTTGGTGGCTGAAAATTTGTGTGTTGATGAATTTAGGGCATGTAACACATATATATACATGAGCTAAAGAAGTGGGCTTTCCTCATGGGCTAAAAAACCCAAGAGAAAACCCAACAAATCTCCCATTTTTGGCCTATGAGGAAGAGTTCGCCATTCCGGTGATCGAGCAACATATCTTCAACTTCTCCCTTGTTAAAGCTTTAGTCAACAGATTGTAACCATTATCATCAATATGAACTTTCTAAAGTTCAAACAAGTTGTCTTCAAGAGCATCTCTAATCCAATGATACCTCACATCGATATGCTTTGTTCTTTTGTGAAACATAGAATTCTTAGCAAGGTGAATGACACTTTGATTATCACAAAGAACCATGTAGCGTTTTTGCATAAATCTAAGCTCTTGCATAAATCTTTTCAGCCATGATAACTCTTTTCATGCTTCTGTTGCTGCCATATACTCAGCCTCAGTTGTGGACAAGGCAACACACTTTTGTCCTTATTTCCTGCCATATCAGAATCTGTATAACCAACAAGCATATGTGCTCCATTTCCAAATGTTATACCCAATTTGGAAGTACCACGTAGATATCTGAAAATCCACTTAACCGCTTCCCAATGCTTCTTTCACAGATTTGATAAAAACCAACTAACAACACCAACTGCATGGGCAATATCTGTCCTTGTACTGTCACACCCCAAAACCAGAATGGCGGAAACGTTCTGGGGTGGAGGACGTCATGTGTAGCATCACAGCCAATGAATAATAGCAATCATAGCAACACAACCATTACAGTGAATACTTTAAATGAAAATGGTTACATCAGTTTGAAACTTTGTCTGAAACTTGTTTGAATTACATCGACTAGCTTTGTAAAGTATAAACATAAAACTCTTATTGCTCCAGCTTCTCAAAAATCCAGCAAGTACCTGTCTACTGATTTCCTGAGAATACAAGCAGTTTGAAAGTATCAGCATAAAGCTGGTGAGTTCATAAGCGGTAGTTTGTAGTGAAAATCGTCGATGAGCTCGTAAAAGTGTTTTGTATGGTTTCAAGAAAATCCGATATTTTTTTTTAGCGAAAAAGTAGTGTTCTCAATTCTGTATGAAATCGTGATTGTTCGTTACTGAAAACTGTAGTGATGCACGAAAGTAATAATTCATGTGACTAGCTGATGCTAATCCTGATGTATAAGTATTTCGTTCATGAAACCATTGTATGTTCAGTTCTATTTGAAAACTCTGAAAGGTTCCCAGTTGTAGTGCGTATTAGTTCTATTTAGTATAAATAAAACTGTTGAAGAGTGTCAAGTTGTAAACTAAAGGTGATTTATACATAATGTGAGTTGTATAACCATGCTTGATATGACTAGAGACCTTTCCAACGTTCTTCAGGCGTCGAGTTAAATGACATTC